TATTTTGCCTATTTCTACCGTTATTATGAACCATTCAGAGAGCCTTAATATGCTGCTAATAGCCGTACATGATTGGACCGTAAAGAAGAGGTATTCTGTCAAATGATTGGTTCAAATAACCGTGAATTTTTCACGAACAATAGGGAATAATTCACGGTCGAGTGCGATAAAAATGGCCATATTCACGGTTCTTCTCGCCATAGTGTAAGGTTATCAAAAGAAGTCAAGTATTATTAATACAATTGCTTTTACAAGAAGGAATCACGAACAACATAGGACATGTTGTGCCATCACAACATTATCAATAAATATTTGTAGTAATCGTTACTCGGTTAGGAGTTCTTCCATATATGACCTATCATATGTGAACTTACTCTTAGGGCGCCGTTACAATATCCATATGAAACGTCTGTGCTCTAACTTCCAGGACAACGGTTCCTTATTCGACAAGACATTGTCAGATCATGTATCACCTCATCCATAAGGCACCTCGAACATACATCGAACCAATAGCTAATACTAGTTAGGTTCTTCCCAGTTATTCCCATTGTAGCTGGACGCTTATAGGCACGCTCATGATATCCAATTATCATTGTTGATTGTAGATATTAAAAAGTATAAATATCATTGTTTTATTCATCGTAAATAAAGTTATCATATATTTCAGTCTCACTGACTTATTGTCCTTTTCCTATCCTCTTCTCATCTTATTAGTTTTTGTCTCTTACCTTTGTACTTGGGAGTGGGTGTGGGGTAAGGAGAGACACTCACAGCTGGATGACCGATGACCCACCCACCTGTCCTTACCTTGGTCTTTTAAAAGCCTCCTACCTCCATGGCCATACCCCTCCAACTTGGACAACCTTGTCTTCCTTGGATATCTTTCTCATCATGTAGTTCTACACATCCTCCCCGTGGCCAGTCACCCATCCTGCCTTCCCTTGGCCCCCTACACTACTCCTTCATCTACTAGTCGCGGTATAGCCCAGTGGATGTGCAAACTTGGAAGGGTGGTGGAGGGCCTCCTTGGCAAAACACGACCAATTTTGACGGCTACTGAAACTTGCCATTTTCTACCCATGTGCCAGATGAACCCCATCTACAACTTCCTTCAAATTACCGGAGCTTCACCTGTACAACATGAGTAGACTATTTTAAATAAGGAAAAGAGAAAGCTATTGCTTAAATTATTCTGCCGCGAGAATCGAATTTACAACTAAAATAATACTCAGTAGTGTCAAAACATCAAAGCCTTCTTGGCTCAGTTGGCAGAGCGTCTGCCTAGTAAGCAGAAGGTCGCCAGTTCGATTCTGGCAGAAGGCAAATAATTAAGCAGCTGCTTAAATTTTTGTGTCATATATTTTATACAACCTTACTTATATTTTAGTCAAGTTACGCTGTTGATCCTTTTTAGTAGTGTAACTACTATTTTTGGAAATTTGTTTCAGAGGACGACATCGTTGAAGGACCAAGTTGT